GACACAAGTACGACCGCAACTGGGAATCGACCCAACGTACGACGTACCCTGATCAAAATACAACTGAAAACCTACTGCCAATCGCTGAGCAAGTTTCTCTTGCAGCTGTAACGTCGTCTCTGCACACCAATCGGCCGTCGCCAGTATGCAACAGGTGAGGAATTGTTGATCCGCGCTTAGCCTGCACAAACATAAACATTGTAAGAGGAAACAGAGGAACGGCGTAAAGGTGTTTTCAAAATTGCATCACAAACCTTAACACTGTAGTATCCTCTCGAATAAGATTGAACAGATTGGCCGTACTGCTTCCACTTTGTTGGCCATGGCCAGTGGGCAGGAATGCTGTCAAGCAACCATGCGCGTAATTACGTAGGCAGACCCGTACGACACCAACGACATCCCTGAGTAATCCAAGATGAAATAAAATAAGGATTCTGACTTCGCGCCGCGCATCGACGCGATATCACTGCGAGGGCGCTCCTATGCTACAGACGAAGCCGCAGAAGAGAATCACAAGAGGCCGGCGTCGATCGATTCTCGTCCGTGGCTGCGCTCGCGACTATAGCATTGAGACGCCACTGCAAGTGTACACATGGTCGCGCTTTACAACAGGTCAACGCACGCCATCGCTAAGTCTGAACGCTGCCGAACAGCTAATGCCAGGGGGTTAACGCAAAATACGAATATAAAAGAAGATAACAGGTGAGAACAATGAACTGAAGGAGATCAGCTGCGAGCAACTCACTTCAGTAAAGCATCTGGTTCACTACTGAGTTTACTACACTCAGGTAATCACTTTCTTCAACAGTAGGAACATATCAGCTGACGACGAAAATGGCACAGCGTGAGTCGAGCATTCCCGTGACGGGACCTCTGTCGACGAACCGGATCTATATGGATAAATTACACGTCATCATAAAAATTCAAACCACAATCTTTCAGTTGTTTTGTGCCTTACGAGGTTGATAGGTGGAACATTTATTAATGGCCTAACGTTTCGACTCAATCGTCGTCTTCAGAGGCCTGAACATGTTTCAAGTTTTAGATTCGCAACCTACCCCACCAAGCGCCTCGTCGAATCTAGCGGTTCCGACGTAGTGTCAGGAACCCCTCGAGAAGAC